AAAAAAAAAAAAAAAAAAGCAAGATGTGACCAAGAAATATGGTGAAAAGAGCACCAGATTAAACCACATGTGGGTTGGTACAGCTTTTCTGTATTAAGCTGTGCATACACACTCATCCTGTGCCCTTGCCCCTTGTACACTGCTTAACTGGACAACCAGAAGAACCCCAGTGGGGTAAAAAATGCCCAATATACAGCGAGCCAAATACCCAACATGCAGGGAGGATGAGAGCGACTCCATTAAGAGGCACAATTACACAGGTGTTACTTTAAGGTGTTAATCTTACATTAGGTGTTGGGACACATCCATTAAAAGACATGGAAACCCCAGACATTATAATGACACAGGAGAACTAGGGATGAAAACATGGAGGGACTGAGTGACTTGCCCAAAAATCMATCAACTACTGTCTCATGGCTGAACTAGGGGTAAACAGAGCTGGATCTCAACCGAAGGCCTCAGCCACAATGCAGTCAAAGCAAGGACAGTGCACTTTATCTGATCCTTTTCCATACAGCCTTGAGATGGCACAAAACAGTATCTGCCCTCCCTAAGATTCAAGTGATCTGCTGCTGCAACCCAGGCAAGAGTACCTGGAAAGACAGTGTGAGCTGAGGAAAGGAAGAGCTCTGTTCATGCCCTCTACTCTTCTCAACAAAATACAACACCACAGTGCCAGGTGCAATTCATGTCCCAAAACCAGGCAAAGATGAGGATTAATGGCCACTTTTCTAAATAGGCTCCCTCAGCTCGACTGAAAGAAAAGCTGTGCAAAGGAAGTGGGATATTGTATCTTACATGACATGAGAGACTTGGTAAAATGGAGGGTCAGACATGTTACCTTGATTGGAGTATACCATTTTCGCTGGGAAGGTGGTTTTCTCACATGGGGCTTCTTCGGCTTGGGTTCCCACGGCTCATACTCCTGTTCTGGCAACTTAATAATAGCATTTTTGGGTTTTTCCAACTTTGCTCCTTCCTCTGTTGAACCCTTGTCTCCCCATCGCACCTGAAGTCAGGAGAGCACACGGTAAGAGGACACTGTTTCAACTCCTGATCACCCTTTCAGTGAAGCARTTTTTCCCAATATCTAATATCCTAATATCTGATGTTGTTGTCTGACTTAGCTCAAGCAGAAAAGGGACTCTGCATTCAAGAGCAATATATGCTCCAAGCTGTCACAGTCAGCACTCTCAGCATCAAGGATAAAATTCTTCCAAGGAAAATGGTGAAGGATATTAAGATGCAATACTTCACCTACAGTCTCACAGGAACTGGCTGAGAAGCTTTCCCTTTCACAGAAACCAGGCACTGCATAGACAGCATCTTCAAATATAAAACCAGCTGTGCCTTAATTCCTTTGACAAGAAAATGGGACACAACTGCACCAAAGGGTTCTATTCACWAAATTAAAACTTCTTTTGGTGCTTATCTAATTTCTTAACCTGCAAATTTTCTCTGGCTCATAATTCATTTAATTATTCATGAAAATGATAGCAGCTTGATGCCTGYTACTTGGACAGCAGGTGCAAATTAGGCGGACAAGCCCTGATTAAATCCCAGTCTCCAGTCCTATTCAAAAATCACATAGAAACAAAGTGGTACAATTTTTAATTAAATGTGCTGGGGTTTATAACACTAAAGAACAAGCCAAATACCTCCATCCTCTTAATCCCACCAACACCTCGACCTCCATAATAAGATGCATCCACGGTTGGCCACTTCTTCTTTGGCAATCCATCTTCATCATCTGAGTCCTGTGGGAAAGACAGGGAGATATTGCTGAATATCCTATGGTCCAATCCTTGGATAACTGGCTTTGTGTGTTATGCTTATTTGCTGACAAAAAACAGAAAAGTGTCTTGTCTCTGCAGCTGCAATTTTAACTAGGGAGGCCAGAGAKGATTGCCTATTCCTCTCTCCAGGCTGCTTTTATTTAGTCAAATGTACATTGACTCCAAAACCCCAATTGATTCGTAAGGAAAGGCAAAGTGCAGATGAATTGCACACTATACTGGCTTGCCACTATGCTATGCAGAAATTGCAGAGATGAGTTATCCCAAAGAAATAATTTATTATTTGCACTTTTAGAACTTAATGTCACTTCAGAGAGGAAGAAAAAGCAACCACTGTTGAGTTTTCTAACATGTGCATCAGACCCCTTTCTCCTGGCAGCTGTAACCAGTTATTTTTCACTATTTGATGCCTTGTGGAGTCTGGCTCAAGCTGTGCAGCTTGGAATAGGGTTCAGACAGGAGCATCTCACAATTGTCAGGGAGATCATAACCAGAGCAATTATAAAGACTKAAGATTATTCTTGTGGAACATTCGAGAGTCTGAATCAGAAATTAACTCCAGGTTCATTTTTCTGCTCTTGCTTAACTAAAAACTGGCAAATGTTTCTGGTTCAACAAGCCTGGGAACACACCTCCAGCTCTATCATCTTGAGTCAAGCAAAGAAACTGGGATTTCTCAGACTCCGTATCGTTACACTAAGTCAAGGCATCTGAAAGCCACAGCCTGACACTCTCCAAGTACACACACAGCTAAGGAAAGGGCCCAACAAGCCTCCAACAATATTTTCTTCATTCCTCAAATAACTTTACCTCATGCTGATATGCAGCTGTGTGTGCTGGACTTGGACTGGTCAAGCACAATGCTCTCTACCACTTTTCATCTATTCAAGTATGTTTCTAGAAACACTACCTGAACTTACTTTTTAATTTTAAAAACAACAACAACAAAAATCAAGTGAAACACAAATACTACAGATGGATAGAAATTACAGTTACACTACTAGATGGCATTTTCTCAAAATTGCCCTGCATGTTTTTATTGGAATGTAAAAGAAATTAACAGCCAAAARAAACAATAACAGCTTTTGAAAACCACGYTTTAATTTTTGYTTGTATTTATCTTTTGGGTTATACMTTGGAGAAAKGTATTTCCATCAATTATTCAGTGACATGTGATCTCTCAGCTACAGTTCAACAGATCAGTTCCTCCAACAAATTCTTTAGTACAGCCAGGCAAGACTAGAGTTGACATTTTCATGAACTAGTAAGGGAAGTTTGAGTTTGGGTTTTTTATTGTTGTGGTTTGGCTCTTTGGKGTTTGTTTTACCACTTTTTTGTTCCTGTTATTTTGTTTTTATCCCAAACCAGGGAAATAAATATACAACAAAGGTATTGTGGTTTGCTGTTGGGTTTGGTGCTGTTTCAGTTAGCTTTTTTTTGAGAGTATAAAGACACAGATTTTATCYCATTTCATGCARTATCTAAATCAGCACCYGGTGAACCACATCAGCATTTTAAATTCATTTGTATTTGATTTCATTGTGAACCTGAGTAAGATACTGTGACTCTTCTATGCAATGTAACACAACTTCTATGTGTTCAGGTCTCACAGCTCTTATTCTTGGCAGACCTGACTCTAGCAGGACACAGTCACTCAWAACAGCTGATACTTTTCCAGTTGATAAAGGATTTATAGCAAATATCCCCTACACTGAACACACAGCAAAGCAGCATTAACAGCTATGATGTGGAAATTTAATGCTGGTGCTTTAGAACACATTTTACACACCTATATTCARTTTAAAAGTAGCAATACCACACTGTATCACTGAAGGGCAGGACATCGTACCTAGGGAGCCTAGTGCTAAATGTAATCCATTACACAATTGTTACAATACAGAATTATTACAATCCACACTGAATAAAGACAAGGCCAAGAAAAGGGATGGCTAGCATCTGTATTCTGTGTTATTMCTGGAGGCTTGCATCAGTTCATCCTCTCTGATTGCATTTAAAATCTCTGCTGCTGAGAATAATTGCAAAGCATCTGGAACTTCTGCATGGGTGTGATGCTCTCTGAAACCTCCTTCAAGTGCAGCACGACTGCAACTGCAGGCTCTGTGATAGCMCTGATCACACTAACCCCAGCTTGAATTCTGGTGTGCATTCTAAAGTTAAATTGTCACAGTGCTGCTGCTCAGGACAAGTAACAGAATCACATACACACTAATGGTGGCTTCTGGCAACCTCAAAACAGTAGCTGTGGCTGCCTCCTTACATTCATGCCAAGTTACAGCAAGTTAGCAGTAAACTATAAGCTTCTCTTGTGGGTTAGSAAAGTATTTTTCCATCATTTAACTGTCTATGCCTAGGAAAGAAAGAAAGGCAGGCATAAGTTTTTTCTGGAGGTGCTTTTATTTACTAYTATTATTTTCATGAAATTGTATGGTGAAACTAAGCTGAGGTCAGGGTCCCTGAGATACTGTCCCCAAAAGAAATAAATACAACCCTGCCTCAAACAGCTCAAAACCTAAATGGAGAAAGGCTAAATGTCCTTCCAAAGGTCACTCTTCAGAAGAGCCACAGCCAGGGCAGGCTTTTGTCTTCTCTCCTGTAGCAAAGCCACAAGAATGTGGCCTTTGCTGTCCTTTCTTCCAGCTGCCAGACAGTTCCTTACTGCCAATCTGGGCTAAACTCCTGCTGAGAACAACGGCAGCTTTACTGGAGGAGGGACAGCTGTCAGCACAGCTTGAGAAGCAAAGATTTGCTTACACACCTGTCTGATGCACAGCAGAAGGAACAAAATACCATAGGAACTGTTGGTCTGTGGACTTTCAGGTTATTCAATTGCTTTCTCCCTGGATGGAAGCAGTTTTGCTGTCTGTATGTAAAGAGGCCAGAAGGCAGAAATAACTGTCCTGACCCAGAGGACTTCCTCTCACAGCCTTCAAGGTGTCATTAAGACACCTACAGGGCTGACATTCCAGGGCAGCACAGTACACTACAGTGGCTGCAGGCAGGGCCACAGCTCAAAAACAGCACTTACAGGCTCCGGAGGCGGTGGTGGCGGCGGCTCCTTGATCACCTGGAATACGTAAATAATGCAGAAAGCTGAGAAAATGGTAGGGTTCATCCATTCAATACTACATCCTCTCTGCTTTCTTGCCTGCATCACAAATGAGTCACCCTGCTCCATTTCCCCACATTCAATCCTCCCATTATCCCCGTTGCTTTTCAGCAGGCATTAAATAAACCCAGGTGAGATGCTAAATCCACAGAACTGTATGATGAGTCAAAAAGTGCTTYAGAGTAAGTAACCCTGGTAGTTCTGCCTGAAAAATACCATAATARCTACCAAGTTAGTGCAAAGATATTMATTCAGAATCTGCAGCTCCTCTRAATAAATTAAAGAAACSAACAAAATGCAAAAACCTCCTAACTCTTGCATTTATAGAGGACCGTAAAAGCTTATGCACWCATTAGTAAATCAATTCATCACATTTCCTGCAGTAGGTTTCAAAGSTGGTGTAAAAGAGGTCTCGATCCCTACAGAAACCTGAATCACATCCATGAGCTTATTTACAATTCTCATTCAAGGTAAAAATCATACAGGCCTTGCAACAATCAAAAACCCAGATTAGAGTAACTTCAAAAAGCACTTTAAGCAAATTGTTGAATCAGGGCTTTACAAATGTGGCAATGTTTTTCTTAAGCAAGGTTAACCCACTCCAACACTTTAACTCTGTTCTTTGGTAGAGAATAGATGAAACCAAGTCAATAGAATAAAAAACTATACTTACCACCGTGCAGCAAAGGGGCCAAAACCACCACAGAAGAGCCAGAGCCAGCAGCAGAAAGAGAATCAGAAGAGCAATGAAAAGGATGGTCCCAGTCAGCTGCAAACAAGATGATTATTTCTGAGTTGCCTTTGTATGTCTCAGTGAGGACAGGAGTCCTGAAGTTACACATTCAGAGTCAGTTTTCMCTCACTATGAGGTCTCAGGCAGATTGTGCAGTTAATTACTATTATGATTATGGTCACATCAGTATCTGAAGCCACAAAATCAAGAAAGCATGCCCTGTTTGTTGTGTGTATATGTATAATTGATGCATGAATTTACAGTATGTTTACAGCCCACCAGATTCAAGGCTAAACTTGYAYACAACCCATTCTGTGCTGACAAGTCCCTTAATACTGTCAGAACAGCATCACAAACTCCATGCAACCAGACCCCCACGTGTGCAGAGTAACCTTCCATTCCTAGAGATGCAGAGTATGCAAATACAGACATTAAAAGCATGGGGATATTGAAGCTCAGACCATATGGGTAACTGCTCACATGTCAGTGTCACAGAACAGAGCACAAATTGCTCAGTGCATCAGCTCCCAAACCTGCCCGCGCTGCCTCGACTCGAACTGCTCACACAACCTCAGCCTGAGTGATTATGCAGACCAGTCAATAAGGCTGCTTGTTCTTGGTATGCTTCTTATGGCTGGTTTGACTATTTTTAAAGGGATTTTGTAATTATTATCTTAAGGCTTTCTGATTCATATGATCTTATGATCTCTCAGCAGAGAACAGTGAGACTCTGGGATTGGAGAGCTAAGCATCTACATCTTAAAAATCAAAGTTAAATTTCCTTTAAAATTACTAGAAACAAACAAACAATCATGTGTTAACAGTTGAAATCAGCTTTTCAGAGCAGCTAGGGAACCAAAGAGAATCACAACTCTGATTTTTYKGTGTAAATCTTGATGGATCCTTTGCACTTGGAGCATTTCACTTCAGTGCATTCACCAGAGATATTAATTCTCTATTACTCTGATGACTACAGGAATCAGGTTTTCCTATGCTGCTTGCTTTCTGCAGAACATATAATGCACATATGGAAAGTAAACATTTGTTTACTTTTGGAAAGTAAACATTTATTGCACATGGGCAGTGACATACTGGAACATGCCCTATCCTTAGCCTGTACTGGGTTCTGGAATGGTATTAAGATTAGCTGTGGTGTTTCAGCTATTTTTTTAATACTGAAAAAAGAAGCCTCTTCAATGGTAGATTTTCAAAATCTGAGGTTTGATTCACCAGCAATGGGGTATCAGAGAACAGGCAAAACTAAGCAAAAAAACAGAGGAAAGCCTAGTGAAAGATGTGAAAGAGTTTGAAGAAAGGTCTGTCAATCAGGCTGAGGAAAGAGGAGTTGCTAGAGAGGAAGCTGTAAGAGATTTTCGAAGGATAGGTGRGTGGATAAAGGGAAAGAAAGCATATTCCAAAAGCGACTGCTATATGATAAAGTCCATGAGATTCACCTCATTAAATCTAAAACKGGTTGCTGAATTTCCATGGCACCAGAAACTGATGCTAAGCTCCTTCTAAGAACAGGGATTCCCTTCATTGTTCTAAGTGTATTTGTTTYTCCCCTCAGACAATGAAAAGGTGGAATAAGAGCTTTGCAAAGTCTGGGTGAGATCCTGAATGACCAACTTCGGTGACACCTAGTTCTTTCTCAGGTCAATTCCTAGAGCCATCATGCTTTGAGGCATGCTCCATGCTTTTAGGCAGGTAACCCAGTATCCCATACCTGTGTCACAGCATCACCATCTCTCCACTGCTATGTGGCTTTTTGTGACAGATGCAACAAAATGACCTGTATTGGGATATGCTGTTTAGCTCACCTTCATTTAGCCAGGGAGCAGTTGGATTGCTCCAACATGTGCCAGACTYCCTGCTCAAATAAATCCTGTTAGAGGACAAAATAGCCAGCTGCAGTTCAGCTCTTAGTCCCCCTCTCTGGCCCTCCCATGGCCCCATGAGGCACTAATGCATCTGGAAAGCAGATACTTGAAGAGAAATGAATTGCCAGTGTAATCAGTTTGCTGAAAAAGAGTGAATAAAAATCAAGCATAACTTTAAGAAGTATTGCTGCACTCCTTAGAAATAAATCCAAGCACAGTAGCAATGCAGTGCCACTGCTACTATTGCTCCAAACACACATTACCTCCTTGTAGTCTTTGTTCCCAGGCATCATTTTTCTGTGCTGACTGCACATATAAATTGCTGAGACGTTTGCCAGCAGTAGCTCAGAAGCTGCTGGCAGCAAGAAGCTAAAGAGTCTTCTTTTAATGATTTTAATGATACAAAGCACCATAGTGAAGCTGGACTTTGAAACGAAAATAGCAGACTTCATGCAGTTGAACAGAAATAAGCATGGGGATCACACAGAAGCTTTTGGATTATAGTGAAGATACTTACTGTACAGAAAGGACAGAAGGAGCAGCTGGGGAGGAGAGCTGAGCAGGCCAGCTGACTGCCACCCACAGAAGAGGAAACAGGAGAGGAAAGGAAATGGAGGGAATCTCTAAAACGAGAAGAGTGAAATGCATGAAAYTAAGACGAAGTTGGGAACTGAACTGCCAACCTCCCTACTTATAGGACGTAACAGGAGCAAGACAGTATTTTTGTTTCAGCTGCAAATCAGCCTTCTTGCCTCTTTCACATTCAATCTGCAAGAGGCTGGTCAAAAACTGTCAGATTGACATGACTGGAGATGGGATTCCTCTCTTTATCCTAAGGCTACCGAGAGGAAAAGCTTCCTCCATCCATGCTCTGGCCTTTAGCAACCCCAGTTAGGGCTGAGACTTCAGTCTTCATCAGAAATAGATTACATATGGGTAACTAAATGCACCAGTTAACACTTGTGTTTCACTGCTGACTTAAAAGGTTTTATCATACCTGAGGTAAAAGAGTGGAATAAAATGTGAAAATATCAGTCCTCAGTATAGAAAATTTGGAAGAGAGCTTTGGCAAAATTGAAATAATTCAGTGACGAAGCAAACACATCCCTTCTAAATTGAGTCAGTGCACCCCAGACTGCTCCAGCAATCTGGTGTGATATTTCCCACCTTCATTGCTGAAAACATCAGAAAATTAGATTCACAAGTTCTAGTCACCTCTATCTGCATTCCTGCCCTCCTGTTCTCCAGCTGTCAAAATGGCCAACAATGATTACAAACCAATATGACAGCATTTGGCATAGGCTATAAAAGTCCTTTTGACACTAATAACAATAAAGCTCAAGTTTGATACAAACTGCTATCAGGTTCTTCAGCCAATTTGCTTATACCACAAGTACAAGGGCACATATTTAATTATTGTACTTGCAACAGCTATRGGCACTGCCTATTTTTACCCCAAGGCAAAGAAGACAGCTGCTTATCTAGCAGTTAGTTTCTTAATTTTGCTTATTTGATTCTAAAAATGAGATTTTAATAAAGGRTCATTTCTAGCTGCTCATCCCCGACACTCCACCTGGTCTTTTTGACCATGTGATGCAGGATAGGCATCACTGTCTTTTCCCTCTGTAGCTTTTCCAGATACAAGTCCTAACAGTTGCACCTTTTACCCCAGATCCCATCAGGGACTCCAGGGCTCAACAGGGTGTGGCTGCCTGATGCTCCTTCCATAATTTTCTCAGATCTCCTTCTGTTAAGATCCCAGTTTTGAGGAGCTCCCTCCTGGGGTAAGAATGGGTATGGTGCCTTTTATTATAATTTTTTTACTCAGAAAACTGTGATTAAACCATCATAATAACAATTTGCTCTTAAGTAGYCCTGGTTATCTTCCCCAGAGCTGCACAGATCCAGTCAGCAGCAGTGATGCAGAAGCTGCACAGAGCTCATGCTCACTGAAGGAGGCTTTGCTGGAAGAACAGCCATCTCTTCCCAAGGTCTCATGGCTCCTCTGTCAAGCCCCATTGGAATTACTTACACACTGTGTGCTGGTGATGCTGACAGAGCTGGAAATGAATGTTAGYCCGTTGTTCATGCTGACTTGTAGGAAAACCACCCTAGAGCACAAAACAGATACACTTATTTTTAGTGCCATCTTTACACCCATTTGTTACCATTACTCTGTCTCTGTTTTAACCATTGGTTTAGGAGCATGYATGGACAGCATGTCAGGTCAGGGCATTTTCATGGCCTCAGGCACATACATATATTTGCCTCCCTGCTTGCCCAGGAGGCATCCTTTCTATGTTACCCTAATGGAGCTGGGACATACACTCTTTAATAAAAATACCCCCATCCCACCTGGGGCAGAGGGCACTAAGACAGTGAGCAGACAATTGTAGTGCTGCTGTAGATAGCACAAAAAACTCCAAAACTTCTATTTATTTAAAGAAAACTTTCTGTTAATGAGTCAGAATGTGTTCTTTGTATCCAAGGAAATCCAGAATAACTTCATAGCAGTCAAAAAGGGTAAAAACATGGAAATGCCAGTGAAATTTAAGAAGAATCTACCCCTAACCATTCTCCAATATCAGAGAATGGGTCTAAGGGAGAAAAAAAAAATAAAGTAATAGTTAAAAAAAATACAAAACCTCACCAAATTAATTTCCTTCACCCATAAATATAAAAGTGTATTAACCCCAGTACACTATTTAAGCACCCACCAGATCACCTAGGGAAAAGGTAGGGTATGTCTCCCAGAAGGCTACAAGATAAAAAAGGCTGAAAAATATCAACTTAGACAAAGCAGAACAAAATAACAGGAAGCATCATATACAACAGCAGCAAAGGAATTCAAATTAAGCACCTCCTTTCCAACAAAATTAAAAGTTTGTCTTCAATTTAACTTTTGGTCTGAAAAAACAGGATATAGGAAGAGAGGAGGAATCACCATTCTGTGATCCTGTGATAGGGGGCCATGGTGCAAGAAGACCTTTGGTTAAACTGTGCTGAAGACCCMACACTGATTTAGAGCTATGCTGACTCTTGCTAGGAAAGGATTCGGCAAAAGGAGATGGCTGCAATATGACACACACAAAGTTATTAGCTTGACACTCTGGGCAAAATCCTGAGCCTTTGGCTCAGTAATGACATCCTCATCAAGAAGTTCACTCTCTCTTGACACACACTGAAAAGCAATACTTACTGTCCAGCATCTTCTATCACTGGGGCAGGGCAAAGTAAGTAAGTATCATGAACAAAACTTGGCTTTTCATCTGAAAAGAAATTAGTATGATTATCAGGGATGGAAAAAAAAACAATTGTTTCAAGCAGTCCAACCCCTTGAGAAGCATTGACACCAATGACAGCAACAGATGAACTTGGTGTATTGGCAAGTAGCAGTACTACACAAAATAAAAAAAAATCCTGGTTAAAGCATATCTGTAACAGAATAAATGTGAGACCACCAGGGCKGATTGACTGCAGCATTGACAAAGACAACTAGGATGGCAAATGAAGGAGTAATTCATGTGTTTGCTCTTGTAAGTGAATTCACCGCTAGGGAGGCACCAGTCTGGCCACGACAGGATATGAAAGCCTCCACTGTGCTCAGGCCACAAGGGTAGMATATATGAAATAGGAGCAGAGCTCCCCTCCCCACACCCTGCTACACCCTGCCAGACACACACAGCTTCTCAGGAATGAGAGAGGATTGCTGAGAAACTGGACACTCCGTATTTTTTTGGCCATTCAGTCTTTTGCCTGGTTGCAAACAAAAGACCCTGTTCAGCACAGCAACAGGGAGTTCCCATGTTACACAGTTGCTGTGATGGGATCAGTAACTGGTGTCAGAGAGGAACAAAGTGTGCCTGGGAGGCCTGGTTTTATTGCAAKTGTCTTCTCAACCAGTGAATAAAAACTGAAAACACCACCAAGGCATCAAAATAGCATGCAATTTTAATTTTCCATCTTAAAACCTGATCCCCAGTACTCTTGCTCTGTGCCTCACCCACGTGCATCACTACAACGGTGCTAAGGTCACTGTGCAGCAGTATGCCCCGTGCAGCACTCACAACACAGTGCCCACAGGTTGCTGCACTGACTAAGGATTCCTTTCAAACTTCTTTTACGTGTCTGCTTCCACCCCAATCCCCTCACACATCTGCTGCAAGGACTCCCCCTTAATATGGATGAGAGTGCGCCTGTGCATGAGGTGACACAGCCCCGGGAATCACTGAAATCCACCAGCCTGCAAACTTACTGATAGTAAGGCTGTCATTGAGCTTGAAGCTGCAGAGTACCTGGTCGATATTCCTTGCATGATAAAAGCCATTGCCTCTTACCACAACTTGAAAGGATTCTGTGAATAAAAATACAGAAGATTTATGAGAAATAATTCCAATACAGCATTTCTGTTCACAGTGACCTGAATTAAAACATGACAATTGCTGTTCTCTGAWGTATGTCTGAAATAAAACATTCACACTGACACTCTTTCAGCAGCAATGCCCAAGTGCTACAGTGGMATTAGTGCTTCAGAGTCTTCTCTTTGTGGAAAGTCAGCTCCCACAAGTGTAACACAGAACTGCAATGCCTTAGAGGTGCCACAATAAAGCTAAGTCTGACTTCACTGATGYTATCTCATGGCTCCTCCATGGCTTTTGGGACAGACACCTGTGTTAAACACAATCACCAGTCCTTCCCCCTAATCTTCATGGAGATGGCACTAGGCTTTCAGCAGCAGCAGCAGCTCTGTTCAGGCAGGCACTGACAGACAGGACTCCTCTCCCAAACCTCCTGTAACTCAAAGAGAAAGCTTTGCATCTGGTACAAACCCTGGGAATCAATACTGCCCCTGCCCATGCACCAAGTCCATGCACAGCCCCACTAAGATTGSTCTGCATGGGAATATCTGAGGACCTCCTAGGCACCACCATTTCCTTTGTGCTTTTCCCCCATATCCCTGCTCCAGCAGCTGAAACCACCAGTGAGTGGCACAAGGAGAGACCTGCCACGATTTCTGTCAAATATACAAATCCATCACCAGAATTTGGYCTCTTTTTAATGGGAAGGGAAACATCCTGGTTCTCACTGGGGGTTGTGGGCATTCCTCTAAACAATTGAAAATGGACTGTTGGGCAGATTCATCTGCTTCTTACTCCAGTAAGAATCTTGAGTTACTCTCAGTCATATTCATGCCTGGAGCCATTCTACATCTAACCCAGCTGATATACTGAGAATTAYTCTTGATGAGCATCCCTTATTTTTGCCAGTAGAGCTGAGAGTCATGACCAGTCCTGAAGACAACTGGCCACTCACCAGAACTACCTGCCTGGGACCACACACTGCCAGACTTACTTGTAGCCAGCCCACTTGACAGTGACTTTATGTGAAATTGCATGTGAACTTGAACACCCAGCCAAGATGATAATTTTCCCCCCATTTCAATTTTATATTTTAAAAGAAGTTTGCTAAAACAAAATCACACTTAAATTTTTCTTCCCCTTCTCCTGAATTAATGGCCTGAAAAGGCAACAATCACAAAAGCTTAACTTGTAGATGTTTCAGTGGCTTTAAAAAGATGCAGCAAGTAAGAAACTTCCTTGGTTTTCAAAGCTAAAAGCTACATCCAGAAGTTTAGTCTTGTCAAGACAGTTTACCTCTCCTACTGTTCTTTCCACTGTGACTGGAACACAGCACAGCCAGTTGTGAACAAGTCATCAGGTGATAACCTGTCCACCACCCCAAGCTGACAATACACCAGACTTGCAGAGAAATGTAAACAGCTGGTACTGGGTTTGTTGCTGTTAAGAAGCCTGCCCCCTCGGTTGCTGTGGAGCATTAACGTGCTCTGGATGATGGTCTGTTGAAATGGCTAATTCCATTTAATTTTGCGCCCTGGCTCTGGCTGCGTCCTTTTCTTCCTTAGTTACTGTCAGATCATAGAATGCAGCTTTTGACAAGACAGCGAAGGGAAAAAGGTCAGCACTGAAATAACCGGGCGGCGCTGGCAGCGAGATGGTAGGTTGAAGCTGGTGTGCACTGGCTGCGCTGTCGGCTCCGCTTCTCTGACTCTGATGAGAAGCTGACTGCTTGCATCCACACCTGGTAGTTGATGTGGCCAGTAGGATGCCACATCCAACAAAACCTTTCAATCACATCTGTGTACCATAAGCATAATCAAAGCAATGATGCTGTCAAACGGGATACGAGGCACCTCTGATTCTGCACTGATAGCCTGTTTACAGGCTGCATGTCTTGGTCACTTTAAATCAGAGGGAATGGGAAGGACCCAGCTACACTGCTCCACATTGGGGACAATGAATTTGCAGGGTCAAAAAGCATTAAACGTCACATAGCTGTCACAATATGATGAGATCAATCTGTAAATGGACTTGCCAGATAGCTTCGTCACAGAAAGCCAGAGTYCCAACTGGAATTGTCAACACATAGAAATGGTTCCATTAGCGTTTTACTGAACCTCTGACAAGTCAAAAATGAAGCCAAGATCACCAGTAATCACCATTGCAGTAGTAACTACAAGAACATTTACAAGGAATGGCTCAGACCCTGCATTGTCCTGATCATAACTTGTTTCCACTGAGCCACACMAACCTCTCATTATCTCATACCAAATAGTAAAAATTATTAGCAATGCTAAATAAAAGCTGAAAAAATTATCATCTCACTCAGGTAAGTTTCATACAAAAAGGTATGGAGAGATACACACTTCAAGCCTGTAAACAGATAAATATCTTTGATGGAGAATAATAATATTGCACTCTTTGCAACTGGCCACTATTTTTCAATCATTATTTTGAAATGCAAATTTCTATTATACATTAAAAAAAATCAGAAAAACAAACAAAAATATTCTTAACCTAAAAGGTGGAGGAATATTGCATTTCTAGAAAATGTTATGTTCTAGTTTTCAGCCAATGGGTACATATACCATGCAAGTTCACATAAATTKCGACAAGGATTCAATGGCTATTTATCTTAACAATATATTATCAGTAAACTGTATCAGTAATTACCTAAATTTAATATGCATWACAATTCTGACATTATTTCATAGGCTTCGCTATTTTTTTGCATTAAAGTCCAAGTGAAGCATATTAAGAAAATAAACCACATTACACAGAGAGTAGCACTGTAATTGTCCAGTGTGTTGAACTCAAGATCTGGATTCACATGACCATGAAAAAAGTTGTTTAATCCCAGGAGATTCCCTCTAGGAAACAGTGGTGCACACAGCTAYACAGATGAACCTCCAGCTATGTTGAAGCGAGTGGGATAATAAAGGATAATAAATCTAGCACAAATGTAAATATTTGTAGCCTCATGCTGTAAAAACCTCTTGCAGGAGGCAATTTAACTGTGGCTTGTGGGATAATAATAAATACTATTACAGGCCTGATTCTTAGTGCTAAAGACCTTAATACTTTAAATACAACAGTAAACAAACAGTGTACACCATGTGGAGCTGCAGCTTTGGCTTCCTCCCATKTTCAAGCTCGCTGGTGCTACAAACGTTCAAGCACGTGGAGAYTGGGCAGCAATGCTTCACCATGTGCCAGCCCTTGCTTTGTCAACGGGGACAGACCAAACCTCAGAATTTAAGTGAAAGAAGTGCCAGTACCTTGTTCAACCAGTAGCAATACGCCTAAGCTGATTCTGCCCAATTTATATTGGTCTTGTTTGAAAGCCACAAAGACAATGAAAAACTTCCACAGATCCAAGGCCAAAAAACCCCAAACAATATTGTTAAGGGCAAATTATTTTAAAAGCATACTTGTGTAATTTAAATCACATTTATCATAAACTTGTTACCTAGCAAGCTTAGAAAAAAATGAAGTTGTTTAAACTCATTATTCTTTCAAAAAAATAAAGAAATTTTACTCTTTTTGCTGAAAGATACTAATTTTGTTGAAAGACTTTTTAATGAGAATTTATTTTCTCAAATACTCCATAACAATATTTTCCACATTCCTTTTGAAAAATGATTTCAAATTCAACTATCTAATATTCTTCACATTGTTCCAAACAATTGCAAGAATACTACTGAAATCCCTCCTCTTGGAACACTCATGTTTTCATGAAGCTAAATTAATTTTTCTTGAAYGGGACGGCTTGCAATAAGCTTTGCATGTAAAATTGCTTTAAAACTGCTCTTTTTTTTAATCAACCTCACAATATTTTTAGAAGAAAATAAYTCCTTTAAATTTTCTCCAGGCAAGATTTTACATCTATTCCACAATCATATACTTTGGAATAATTCAAGMGATACAAGAATGTTTCATGCTAAATTGAAACATTCAGGGTAAGATCATATTGTGATCAACATGTGGAAATGAAGTGAACAATTTCTCTTCTGTGATACTTACTACATTTTTCCTGAGTTTCATGTTTTATCTGTTTTCAAGGTCAGCTTTCATGCACCATTGCCATTTTTTATGTGCTCCTTTTTACCGTGTGGAAGGAAATGAACACAAGACACCAACACTAGAGCTAAATAACCATACTGAAAACTGTACCTTCCAGCAAACTTACGGTATCACTCTTACTGTGCTGCAACAGCCTCTAGAGTAGATAAAAACCCAGCAAGAGAAATGTTAACATAAACCAGAACAAATCCAAGTTAAATATACTAAACCTGAAAGGCATGCAATTGTCAACAGCTCTTCTGAGTATCCTCCATGTTTACCATAAAGAATAACGGTTCTTTCAAGTAAGTAGAAAACATCTGCATTTTGGAAAACATGAGAGGCATCTTGGCCTAYGCAGCAAATTGCATTTGATTCAATAAACCTTAAATTTCTGTAAATGTTTTGTGAAATCTTGTTCTAACTGCTGACAAGTCCTAGCAGATCCCAGGAATGCAGCCTTTCCAGAAATTTGTGAGATTGCCTTTAGACCCTAAAACATCCCTGTCAGTCTGGCTTTAAATCACTTTTCTTGTCTCTCTCAGATATTTTAGAAAGTGGTATCTCCAATTCCTTGAGTGTTAGCTCTGTGAATTCTCCAAGCTGGTACTCAAACACAGCAGCAAGATGATTTTTGGGTCAGAATGTTTTTCTCAAGCTGAAAAGRAACATGCAGGGCTTTAGCCACTGCCTGAAATGCTGCTCTAACACATGCATAGGCTTCAGTTCCAATACCACATTGGGTAGCTACTGACATTTCATCAGAGTCATCAGTGGAAACTTACCTCCTGCACAAACACTGGATGGTTCAGCCGCTAGGATCTCAATGCAAGACTTCTTGAGAATCTAAAAGATTTAGATAAGGGCATTTTTGGTAACCATTTTCATCTATGCTTTATTAACTGCAGTAAAGGGCATCCCTTACTGCGTTTCAGAACACCCAGCTTACCGAATCAATGGTTCCTCTTAGGGCATAAAAGCCTCCCTTAACTGGAAAAACATGATCGATGCTGTCAGCAATYGTTGACAGCTGCAAAGAAAGACAATCGTAAATCATGAGGAAAACAAAATTACAGTGAACAAAACTGGGCCCTTTCATACTTGCTAAAAGACATCATAGTGACACGAAATGATTTATGCCTCRAGTAATTAAATAAATGCCTTCATCTGATGCTGGTACTTGTGCAATAGTACAACAATAAAACACAACAAGARAAAGCAAGAAAGTTACCTGAGTTTCATTGAAATCTTTCACTCCAACACAATAAACAATAGCCCCAAAGCTTCTGGCTCTGTTGGCCTAAAAAAAAGGCAAGAAGTGCCATTAAGTACAAAGCCATATAATCATTAAATGTGTACAGGTTTGACACAAATTATTTTGGATAAACATAAAAGTGACTTACTTCTTGTTCTGCGTAATAAAACTGAGCATCTTGCAACTCTCCATCCGTCAGAGCAATAATCACACTCGCGGTCCGAACTCCTGCATGGAGGACAGTTCACAACAGACTGCACACACATGACACAAGATTCAGCAATGGAAAAAAAAGTCTGCAGTGTGGCAACCCTTTTTGCTGACAAATTCAAACCCGTAAGGCCAAACGCTCAGGCTGATTTGTATGGAGTTGGTGATGGCCCAGATGCAAGGCATGCCATGAGCCAAAACCTGGGCACCTTCACATCACRAGCATCTCTGGAGGGACAGTGCTGCTCTAGCAAGGCCCACACACTGACTCTTCTGCTCTGCGTAAATTAGAGCACCTACCAAGATTACAGCCAGGCCTTTCACGTGGAGAACTGGAAAAATGTGCTCATTCAAGGCCTCCTCTCTTCTCTTCACAAACCTGTCTCTAGATGGACATTGTCCAGAGACCGTGGTGAGAGACACCTCTGCAAAAGGAGCTTTCCTGTCATCCTGCCTTCCCCTCCAGCAGGCTATGGAAGAGCAACCCCACTGAACATGGCAAGAAATGGGYTTCATAGGGAAGTCAGTCCCATGATTCTCAAGCAACAAGAACAGCCAGTGAAATTCACAGGAATTCTGAACACGTGAAAAGATCAGGTTCATTTAAAAAAATCGTGTGATAACATTTCATATTCCATCTGAAGGGAAACGGTTGCAGATTTTTGTGTATGTAATGCAGTACAGAATACAATGSTACCTGGAAAAATGCAACCTGTTAACAAAATTAAAACAAATTAACATGCAAACTATGGTTGAACCAACTRTTCTGAATTCATAGTTATTTATGCAAAGTAACTAGTATACAACTAATACACATTACTTCCAGGCAAGTATTTGTTATTTTTTCAAAACAATCTGTTACAATTTCAAGTGTCTTCCCCCATTCTGTCTGAAATTAAAGACTGATTAGTTCTGACAGGTTTCTTATGCCACGTAGTCCTTCCCATGTCATGTCAGACACAGACATAAATCTTAAAAAAATGGCCTGCAACTTGGGGAAAAAATAGCTTGGATTCCCTTTTCTTTTCTGTCCAGCACCCTTGGAAAAGGCTGAAAAAACCCTGGAGATCTTATTTTGTTTTCTTTTCAACAATTGYTTCTTCCCTGGTAATTTAGCTTCTAAAACCAGATCTCATCTACTTTTTTTCCTTCCTAATTCAATTTACAGAATACTTGATTAGTTCTAGCTATATGTTGTGAGGTAAAATTGTTTTCAGTTGGACACTTCAKGACTCCTGATTTTACTGGCAGAAATGTGCAACACTGTGCAGAGCTGCTACTGCTGATGTAGACTCTACACTCACAGCCTATTTTAATAAAAAGGCACTGACCCGTTTCTCCATCTTCCAAAGAAACCATCACCCACAAAAGAGAACTACCTCACACCAGGGTATGAACTAGGCAAGTCTTGTTAACTAACTAGGTCTTCTTTTGGCACCGACAAATATACTTTCCTCTCAAAATTTAGTGAAACGGGACATTTTAGCAACTCAGAATCTGAACACAAATCACTCATACTGATGTAAAACTCTCTCTCATTCWCACCTACACTAATGAAAACAAGGATGTGAGACCACAAAGCAGACAGGCACTAGTGCATCAGGACAGAAGGGCATAGGAAAACGTGGATATCCCTGTCTCCTGGGTACAAGATGGGCAGCTCTGGCTGCACTGGTTTGGTCTGCATTCTGCAATGGTCAGAACAGGAATCATATTGGTCTCCTCTGATCTCAATAAGCCATGAATCATGCATTTAAAAGTAGAGYTGTAGTCAAAATGGAATGCAGCATTGCATAACACTGCTCCTTCTCCAATACTTCTTTCAGCGGGTTTATTGCAGGTCATAAAAAGAACTGTCTTTTCAGCACAGATATAACACATACCTCCATAGGTCTCATGGTAAATTTGCTCATTTGCCTGCAACGAAGTGTAGAACATGGTTAGCTCTTATGCATACCAGCAGGAAGTAAGCAAAGTTTGTATGTGTAAAACAAGGAAAGYAGGTACTGTATGTGTACCCTTTTAAATCCTTCATGCATGAAYGTGTCTCCTCCAGGCACTTCTTCCTTAAGAATGTCGAGCCCTCGTCTTATGGCTTCCCTTTGGATTGAAGAAAAGCAAACACAAATAAACAACAACAAAAAAAAATCTCAGGAGAACATTTTATTAAAAGGTTTTTGGTTTTTTTTTTTTTTGTTGCGATATTCCTGTACCACAGCTAGATTATGCATCCTATCAATCAATTGCACAGAGTGCATACACATCAGCTGAAACACTGGTGGAACACAGATTTTTTTCAAAAACCACAATTTCTCAGCCAAACACCCATGRGAGCACAAAACCAGACACAAAGTACAGCATTAGGGTAACATATTTTAAAGATGCAATTCTGTCCCTCCTTCCTCCTTCTCATATACTCTGAGTCAGGCTAAGAYTGAATTAAACCAATGCCAGATATTAAACTTTGACAAAGTGCAGAACAAAACACTTTAAAAGCTTATGACCCTGTCACAAAAATGGGACAAATTAAAACTCCCTATTCAATCAGTCATCAGGACAGTTTGGATTAGGATTTTTCCATTTTAAAGACACAGGCCAAAAGATAAGAGAACAGGAGAGGAATGATGAGAATTTCCTATCCTAGACCAGGGACTGTTCAGACTTCCTGGGGCATAGATTACTCCCTGGAAACAGAGGCACTTGCATGTCACRACCCCTCTTGCATAGCTTCATACTCCCCAAACACCTGTTAACCAAGAGGATCATTCAGGGACGTTAATAATTTAACTGATCACCAAAAGACCCTGATCCTTGACAAAGTTTTTATTACATTAATGGAACACAAATAAGGCACAAATATTCAACAGCTAAGACACAGGCAGTTCAAACGTAAGTGCCAGATATCATGGGGCACCCTTTCTTTAAGAGAATAGTGAGAACCTTTCTAAACTCCATTTTGCAACTGGATGTTTTGTATTTTAGGTGACTCAACCACAGTTACTGAGAATACAGGAGGCTATATGGGATGAAGGTAAAAATCAGGAGCTGGGATTGGGGATGTCCTTAGGCCAAAAAGCACATTTTTACTCTTCTGAAGTAAAAAGTGAACTGAAAAGGCACAGAGTGATCCACACAGGGAACGCTCTAATAACATGTTCAACACATTGACAGAGGGTTCCTGTCTACGTTCCACCTTGCAAAAAGCAAATTCACCCAGGGAAATATAAGCAAGTTTGAGCTCTAACACTACAATACAGGATGGAGACCTGAAACAAAACTTAGCGGAGCCAGCAGAAAGGCAAGAGCTCTGCAGGGGGGTTTCCTTTGTATGAGTCCCTGGAGTACAGAATTGAGGAAGTAGTTGCTCTTTCTCCACCAGAATTCCCATTACTAATAGTGTGCCCTGCACTACTGAGGCCCACTCGCACAGACAGCAGCAGCAGCCAAAGGGAAGGCTTTAAGCTGAAGTGGAAGAAAACACTTAGAAACACCCCGATGACAGGGATTTGTATGTGTAAGGCAAATTAAATTTTAAAAATAAGAATTGGGGGGGGGGGGGGGGTTGCTGCGTTGGGGTTTTTTTTCAGTGGTTTGGGGTTGTTTGGGTGTTTTTGTTTGTTTTTTAAAGAAAGAAAATTTGATTGTAAAGTTGGCAACAGGAACTTTGCTCCAGTTTGTTTTTTTTTTTCTTGCAAAGCTTGTCATTTGACTTTGCAAATCACCTCTGGCACAGGTGCTGTTTGCAAGCAGCCCAGGAGAGCGGTACCTCAGCCTGGGGAGGTCCTGCTCCAGCACTGGGGACAACCAGCTGCTGGTGTAAAGGTCGGGGCTTTGAGTCCCTTCCAAGGGCTGGGGAACTCTCATACGCTCTTTTGCTTACCAGTTAAGGGTCTGAGATCTCTTCCACAAAAATTGCCCTTACTGGTGTAGCAAGTTTGTACTTGGATYGTCAACTGGAAATGCAGTTTCTCCCTGAAATACCACAGTAAAGAAGAGACAAGCCCAGGGCTCCCTTTCTTTTATAAAGCCGTAAAGAAAATTGTAATTCAACATCCAAAGGCCTTCTAAGCCCTCCTCCAGCTGGGAATGGAGGAGAGGATTTCAGTGCAACACCAAGGACTAAGAGACATAAATTCTGGATGTGGGGCCACTCACTGGATGTGTGAGAGAAGGGACAGAGGGTATTCCTGGAGGAGAGCTGTGGGAGGTACTTGCCTGTTCTCTGTTAGTTTCATTATCGTAGTGCCTCGTGAAGAAAAAACAATGAAAGACATCCGCAACATTGGACTGAAAGAGAAGAACAAGGCAGATCCATGTTACACATGTTACTTCAGCAGATTTTCATTCACTAAGAAGCACCGAACAAAAAAAAAATATATGCAGGGAATAAAAATATGAACTTAAAAATACTTTACCTTATGAACTTCTCAGCTAGGCTTTCCACAAAGGAGTAAATCTCAGTCCAATGATGTTTGACACTTCCAGACCTGCGTACAAAACATAACGGATTACATTAATGTTTCTCTGCAGTGGAATTCCTTGTTCCTTGTTTGAATTTTAAGTCTGGCTTATTCCAGAGGTGGTTAGGGACACAAATTACATGGAGTTGTGTTGACAGCTGTAATTAGAACCATGAAGACAAAACCCACTGACTCAAAGACAAGTTGTAAGAGATCTGAAATGGTTTACCCTAAAATCTTGAAACAAGTTCAGTAACCCTTCAATTTACTTTTGTTCCTTTTATAGCATAAAATAAAAATATTTTCTTCTAGTTTAATTGATTTTATTTGATTTCATTAAGTTATCTGCCAGCAGATTATTTACCTTCCTAAAGCACAGCTCTGCCCTTGCAGCCACACAGAAAGTCTTGACTGATCTTCTATTCTCCCGGAATGCGTGGGAGAATGTTTCCATGAATTACTGTTTGTTTCGAAAGAGAAAGCTTTTGAAATTATTCTGAAGGGAAACGCAGTACTCTAGGCCAATTTGCTGGACTAATGTCCTGGACAGTCAAACCCTGGCTCTATTATGAATTTCCTGTGAAAACTTAGGCAACTTAGTTACAAGCAGAAGACTTACACATTCATGCTGCCGTTTCCTTTATATAACACTACATTACTGGCACTCCCTGGGTTTTTCTTGCCAAGTCTTATTAGAGACCCCCACAGTCCGATGGAACTGAGACCTCAAACAGAGCCTTGCACGCAGCAACTCTACAGTAAATTACAGATTTCTACCATGTTGATATATGCCATACACTTACAAGACATTAAAAAGGCTATAAAGCATGAAAGTCAATGGTTTTAAAAGCCCTCCCTAGGACTGTGGTGTTTATGAAAGAAGGACCCATTTTCTTTCCTTGCTTGCCAAACTCATCTATCAGGTGTCTTAGGCAGATAAAAAGAAAGAAAGATAAATGAAACTATGGCACATACACAAAATCACAGGGGCTTAGACACAGAACTATTAAAAAAGATTTAAATTTAAAATTTAAATCCTACTATAAAGCAGTAGGATTCCTCTAACTTCTATTAGACATTTCTCTGTGYAAAGAAAAAACAATTACATATTACAATTCTCAGTTCTACTATGGGCTTTCCAAGTGATCCTATGCCAGYCACTCCTGCCCTTGTATGTCAGACACAGAAACCCAGGTGTGCAATGCAGGATGGTGCTGCCTGCCCTGCAGCAGTGCTGGTGGAGTGGAGAAGAGCAAAGATAAAGGGATCTGGACCAAAAGAGTCTCCTGAAGTACATAAGCTAGAATAAATTGGCTTGTGTGACCCGGTGCTTTCATACTGCTCTTCTGGGGAACTGGTGATTCATTCACAGAACAAACTAGTTATAAAAGAATGAAGAAATTTCCAGGCACCATGGGAGGGCAACAAAAGCTAGGGACTGCTCAAACCATGGGTCAGGATGCTCTTCAGTCCCCAATTTATATGTGCTATGCAACCACATGTTTGTCATTTGAGAACAGTACCAATGAAAGGTGCTGGCACTATTGCCAAATTAACCCTATCAACACTTATAGTTCTCCAGGATTTTTATGGAAGTCCCAGGCTAAATTTCTAAACATGATGAAGTCACAGATTTTCCTTGAATCTATCCAAGATGCATCTACACCTCCTAATTTTTTTTTGTTAATTCTTTCCCCTCCCTGAAGCTGACACTTTTATTTCATTCTGAGCTCCCCATCTGACTTAAATTCAACTCCTGAAATTTTCAGTGAAGTCAATTCCCTACACAGAATAGCCATAGCTCCTTACTTGGAAAAGACTGACCTATTGTGGATGAGGTTTCAAATTTCTACTGCCAGCTGCAGAGGCACTGCTGCAATCGAAAAAAGAAAGTAGTGGCGAATTGTCTTTTGAACTGCAACAAACCAACATTCCCAGTACCTTCTTATGACTTAAGTCAGAATGACTTATTTTTTCTCCATACTTTTTTTTTTTTCTCCCTTGGAAAGGGTACAGCCAGCAAGACTGAGAATTGACTGTAATAAATCAATAGGCACCCAYCCCTGAAAAGCGAGGGAGGTCTCTGTCATGGATTGGTCCTCACAGGAAATGYACTGCGCTTTCAGAGTGCCCAGCTCTACATCACTGAGCTACAGCCCTGCAGCATTACTTCAGTACAGCAATGGGTGTCCTTCACCCCTAAGAGGAACTCTGCATCCACATGTTGTTTTCCAGCTGGAAGTGTCAAAAGTGTCCCAGTCTATCAACAGGGAAATGTCAAGGCCAGACAAAAATACTAGCAAGAAAATTTAGTTTCCAAACCCCATAGAGGAAGTACCAGTGAAGTGGTCAGCACTTAATTCTTTTCCCCACCACACTTTTCCAAGCCCAGGTGTCATCTCCCACTGAAAATGGTGCCCAAATGCCACCAGTGCCAGTCATGTCAAACCCAGCATGAACACCAGAGGGAGTGGCCTAGCCTACAGAAGATCCTGATTTCCCCTCTCTCCCACCCAAGCTTCCCTCTAAATATCCCTATTTGTAAAGGACTATTATTTGCCATTTTATATATGTTTTGGAGGGTTCTTGGGTTTGGCCTGACAGTTTCATCTGGTGCCCCAGAGGCCTGACCCCATACCACCAGCAATGGCAGTTTTAATGGCAGATTAAACAAAAACTTAAAACAATAAAATGTTTGCTAAATTATATACTAAGTTGTCAYATGCCATCAAAAATGAGTTCCAATGCTGACAAACAGAACTGTCCTGTGCTATTGAAAATCTGGAGCCCTTTCACTGCCTTTGGAATATTTTCTCTCACATGGCAGGATCACTGTTGCTGTCAGCATAAACTGGATCAGACGAGGAGAATAAATGAAGCACAAAAAGATCAGCACCACACAGAAAAAGCACTGGGGTGCGACACACACTCATYCACCCCCATGCACAACTGGCACAAGCCATGGAGAAGTGACACAGGCAGGGAATCTTATGTATTCTGTTGTGGAGGTTTGTACAGGAGGTCCACAGCACTATGGTCGTCTGCAAAAACAGAAAGCCAGTGTTGCAGCCAGATCTACCTTGCAGGCTCACGCCTCAGAGAATTCCCCTTTCAGCCATCAGCTCCCTGATTCAGCCCCACACATCAATCAAAGGCTGCCACCACGCTGCTGGGCTCTGMCCTTCCTCTCTGCACTTTCCCTGCTGAAGAAGCCCAGCCAGCCTAATGTTCTCTGCAAAGCTGTGGGGATTACAAGCCCAAGACYTCTGTGGATGGTGACCCATAGCTGACAAGAGGTTTCTATGACTTTCCCAATCAAGTGGGATGGTGAGGCTTCAGTCCTCAGAGGGGACATAATTCTCTCGGGGAAGGAAAGTACACAGCAATAAATAGCTGCTGGGGGCAGCTGAAATGCTCCAGAAAGCATCTCAGAGCTTGCTTCTGCTGCTGCTTTCACTGGGATAAACCTAGGGTGGACCAGAGAAGTAGCAGAAWTTCCCTGGGTTTGTACCTATGCAATTACGACCAGAATTCAGCCAAAGTGAAGCTCAAAAAAAACCCACAGGAGCCATTTGCCTTGAGCATGCTCCCTGCTCCATAARCTCTGTTCCCATTACACACGAGACAAAGAGAAAAGTCAGCAAACCACAACACAGGAAAGAATGTCCTCCCAGCCTCATCACGACTGGGCTCGGAGGAGCAGCTGCTGCTGCAGCTCCTGTTGCTGCTGTTTTCCTTAAATTCACATCGCTACCACTTGATGGGAGGGGAAAAGAGGAGGTCACTGAGTATTTCTGGGGGTGGAAGGAAGTGATGTGATTCCAAGGCTTGATTCTGCTCCTGCCGACTTTGGAGTGATTCCTTCTGGTTTAGCAGAGCTCTGTGTCAGCATAAAAACCGTGAGCATGTTAGAATTGAGCCTACCCAATCTGAAGTATTTCACTGATTTTTTTTTGTGAAGACAAAGAGCAAGATAGATTGGAAACTTTCTCTTCTTTCCTAACAGGTTCCCAGCTGCAGTGGAAGCTGGAGCCCAGAGAAATGAAGCAGCACAAACCTGGCATAAGGAGTGCCACTCTCAGCCCACTCAGCTCAGCAGGCAAACAGCAGGAGGGACCACTGTGTCTGTCCCTGGAGCACACGAGATTCACAGCTACTGCTGAATTCACTGTCAGGAGCACATAGGGATCAACCCAGTGCAGTACTTGGCCGCCAGGCAGCTTTGCAGTGAAATTTACAGGCCCAACACTTCCCAAACAGTAAATATTTTTATTACCATATGTACACAGAGAAGGCAGCAGGACCCAGAGCCTTTCATCCCTGCTGAAAGTGACAGAGTGRAACCTCTTGAAAGCACAGAGCTGCCTCTTGTCCTGTTCCACATACACACACACACCCCATGCCCATTTGCCTCCATTACAATTAGCTAAAGGCAACAGCTAATGGTGGCCACTGCTCACAAACTTGACACTGTTTTATCTGGAGGGCTCTTTGTGGTCACAACCACATTGTAGACAGCAGAATTCTTGCACATGGCTAATAATGGCTCTGCAATAAAAGCAAACCCTGGGRCATCTAGTTTGTTGTGGTTTTAGACACGCATGCCCGAGTGTTCATCCACCCCTCTGCTCCCTTCTGAGCCACCAGAGCATTCAAAGTGACAAGAATCCTCCTCTCCCAAACAATGCATCTTGCAAGCATGGAACGGATCTTGACTGGGTGATTCATCCAGGCAAGGAAGGACCAGTTTCCATCATCTGCTCCAGAGGCAATTAGAAGCATGCATAGAGACAGCCATTCTGAGGCAGTCCTTGCTTCAGAGTGCTTGTAACATTAATGGACAAGACAAGGGCTGGAATGGGGAGGGGAAGATGCAGAGAAGTGACTGCAAAATGGGTTTTAATCCTAGGCCAGCATCTGAGCATACGGCCCAAAATACTTCAATCCAAAAGGTTTCATGACCAAACCCATTATTTTCACAGCTAGCTTTTGTCCCATAAAGCTACAAATAAAGTCTGCAGCAATAG